TGCTCGATTCGCCCCTATTTCCAGTTCTCGAGCTATATCCGTCCTGTCGCCATTGAGGATAAGACTTTTTCCTCCGTAGTCCTGGCTGGCTCCGGCTGCTTCTCTGCTTCTCTCAATGACCGTACTGCTGCTCTACTTAAATCTTTCTCCCTTTTTTCTCTACCATCTTTCCATCTTTCTCTCTTTTACCTGTATACATCGTACGCGATACCTACACGTTCACCTTTCGACGTGAAAAGTAACGCGTTCAGGCTGCATACACGGAACGGAAATTTCCTTGGCAACCTTGATCCTTCGATGTCTGTCGAACTTTCACACCTGCTCCCCCGATCTACACTCAATGGATTCCTTCGGAAAGGTAACAATCCGTATCATCTCGTAGTCATCTCGAAGAGAAAAAAATATAGATTTCAAGTTTATTTGTGAATATCTCTTGCTTTTTAAATTTCACTTGAGACAAAATGTCGCGCCTTGTTCTAGATCGTGGATATTCTGAATGCAGTTAATGAAGTATTGAATATTTTATTTCTGATGTTTCGTATACTTCTGCACACTCTGTATCTTTGAATTAACGTAAATGCAGTGTAATTGTGACGTTAGTGATCAAAATAAAATTCCACGAGCCAATTTGTTGGCTTTGCTACTGTTTGCACTGTGACGTGTATGAAGATCCATCTATTGACGAATCCTTTAATCCTTTTATTTATTATAAATTTATTTTTCGTTTGATATTTGTATTTACATAGACTGTTTGCCCAAATTTCAATTAATATCGGATCAAATGAAATTTTACTGATTGAGTCTTTCTTGAACTTGAATTTTGAAGAATTAGTAGTGAAAGGGAAGATGAATGAACTCCTATTACATAAACTATACAATCAGTTTACATACAAGGAGTTCGTATTGTATACGTATAAAAATTCCATTTAATTCTGCTATGATCCGCGAATTTTTATATTTAATCTTACTCTCGTTTGAATAAGCGTGCATACGAAATAAATTATTTATCATCGTTCGAAAAATATTACCATGTCAAGAATGATCGGAAAGAAACAGAGATTGGATCCACTTATCTAATCGAGAAGAACTCGCATTGTATGAACGAAAAGAAATCACATTTAAATGGCCAAGAAAATACGTAATTTATTTATGTAGATCTATGAATGGACTAAGTAAACAATCCCTCAGAAG